TGAGTTTGTTGTTGTCTTGAACTCTTCACGAGGTTTTTAAATAACCTTTATTAGGCTGACGTTTCGGCGGAATCGCCTTCTTCAGAGCCTGAAAGGATCATAGCAATCTGTGATTATCCGACCAAACGTCTCCACCAACGTCAACCAACGAACCCTGGGGATCTGGAAGTTAGTGGGTTGGTGGAGACGTTTGGTCGGATATGCACAGATTGTTATGATCCTTTCAGGCTCTGAAGAAGGCGATTCCGCCGAAACGTCAGCCTAATAAAGGTTATTTAAAAACCTCGTGAAGAGTTCAAGACAACAACAAACTCAGTAATGTAATCATGCCGAGGTTCATAGAAAGCCGTACATGGAACCGTTCGGTGATTTTTTCGACAAATATAGAATGTTGCTGTTGTATCAGTATCCGAAAACAAGTCTAGGTCTCAATTCAAATGGTCACTTCGACTTGGGATCCTCCCCTGGCAAGTCTAGTAGATAGCCATTCAATTTCTTTCCGAAAACACTAAGAGCAAATTAAGGAAAGAATTTATGAAGGCTAGAAAGGATTTATGGGTATCAAATTCTAGAAGAATTTTAGAAGTATCCAGAATAAGGCGAAAAGTGCAAAGAAAACGAGAGGATCGGTGTTCCAGAGAAACACAGGGCTTCAAAAAAGTAGTAAATTTAAGGATTGGAGAAGAATGAAGTTGAACAAACAACTGTGCCCTTAAATCACCTTTTTCACTCCATGTCAAGAATTTTGGAACGCAGGTTAATAAGCACCAGAAATACGTCTAGCGATACAGCGAACTTCAAATGTCTACTTTGATCTTTCCCTTAGAATCCCTATCAGAAAGCTGTAAAACAGCCTTCCTCTTCAACTTCTCTCAATATAAAATTACGCTAGAGAGCGTTTATCATATTTTTGAGCTGCCAGAACCCCCACAGTAACGATGTGGATCTTTCGAAACTCCGAACTCACCTGGCATTCCATTTCCGTCGATGTCAACTCCACCAGCCACAGCGAATCCGAATGACTTCATGGTCGGTCCAAATGCGCCACCTTCGATCTGAATCAACCCAGTGCCTTCCATTCAAGAAATCACTCAATCGGTTCTCAATTCCAAAAGCCCTAACCTTTTGGGTGTATTTCTGGCGAACGCCATCCTTCGTGCCATGCATAATGTAGACGGCCCCAGCTTGATTCTTTCCAGCATATGGTGCTCCAACAATAAAATCTGAATCTCTTTTTTTTCGATATTACTCCGACTTCATTACGGTCGTTATAATCGCTCACCATTATAACCGTCTTGGTTAAGATCGCCGACGGCGGCCAGGGAGAATCCAAATCGACCCCACTGATCCTCTCCCAAAATCACTGAGGTTCGGTCGAACACTCCCTGAAGATCGGTTCTTCACGTTATAACCCCCAATTCGTCTATCAATTCGTTAAAATAAGGTCAGAATCTGATCTGCAAAACCCCAATCGATCTTGCTGTGGCTGCCTATGAAGTAGTTACAGACTTGGTGATTTCATAAGTGATGCTAGTGCTTGTCACTTTAGATTCAACAATATGAACATGGCTCTCATTTTTGTACAAAGGATAAAGAATAAAATTTTGGAACGTTAATCAATCCCGTCTGTGGGATGCCCTCTTCACAAAATTCCTTCGTACCCGGTTTACTGCTCTTTGAAGCTTCATCTATAATGAACCACATAGTCGAGAAAAACTTCAATGACCTCTTCACGTCAAATATAGGAATGGTAGATTGATTGCCTGAGCTTTACCATCATGATTTACAATTTAATCTACCAAACGCTTTCTATCTGGCTTTTTTTCTCACATCTTTCTCCGTACTAGGCTGAATGGAGAATGGCAGCTCTCTTTTTTGATGGCTTTTTTTCGGCTTCTCTTCAGTTTGTGGTTGATCTAACGTAGGACGGGTTTCATAAAGTGACCTGTGTGTCAGATAAATAACATACGTGAACTGAACTAAATACACCGGAGGAACGATGTAGGCCTTATTTGATATAGACTTATACCAATGGGCCCAAACTGACTACAATTTTGTCATTAAGTTCTCGATATGAGACAATGTCGTTGTAAGTTTTAAGGCGCGGAAGTGTGCCAAGTATAGGAGCTGGAATTGAATATCTGAATAATGTTCATGGTGTTGCCCTACTTGGTACATCCTACCTTATCCCGTAATTCTGTTATCACCTCTCACCTAGAAAAGGAAGTTCGGTGGCAAAGCATGACGGACTCTCACTTTCTTCACTCGACATTAACTCTTTGCACTATATTCGAGGAAGACTCACCGGAGCTGTCTGGAAAAAGACGACCACCTTTCCGACGTCGTACTGCGGCTTCCTCTCTTGTGTTTTAACATCTTTCACAGTGACGTAATCGGTGTAGAAGGGGCATCCCATGATGATGTCGTCACGCCTAAATTCGAGTGTTCGTTCACCTTTTCTTGTGAATACCACGGCTGACCGCTTTGACCGGCGGTAGAATGAAACGAATGCTGCTCCGTGACCAGACTTACCCATCTTTGTTGAGATCGGTTACTGCCAGACTACTGCCACAGTACTGTCCCTGTTGTGAAGAGGATGGGTCGGTCAAATTCACTAACATCTTCAGTTTCGAGGTGTAGAGGACTAGCTGGAATGAACATCGTTCGACTCTGTGCCACAATATACTACGCAGGATACCTTGCCAGCCAATTCATTGCCTCGTGGCACACCGGCAACAATATCGTCGACTCCGTCGCCATCGAGGTCTCCGCTCGCAGTTGCATAACCTGAACAGCCTCATTCGAACGGTGAAACTGGGAAGGAGCCAAATCACTCACCCATCATGTCGTGGTCGTATTCTTTGCCACCATATTCAGTATTAGGCCGATCAGTCAGGTTTCTGATGTTTTGACTGAACACTGCTCCTTGCCAGTACCAAACACCAGGAGCTCCGATGAAAGCCTGAGAAGACATAATTGAGAACTAGCAGAAAGGCTTGCTAAGATTCTGGGTGACGTACTCGTTCGTCTGCTTTCGTGTATCTATCAGGAAGAGCCGCTGAAAAACCACATTGCCCATAACCAAACCGATGACGACCATGGCGAGCAGCTAAATATACCCAGTACTCATAAATTTCTACAAATGTCACCCATTCTGTGTGCATGCTTACGTTCTTGACGACATGGCGAAAATTCCTGAGTTTTCTCGAAACCATTCTCGGCAAAAAAGCACGAGCCCACAGGTTCAATTACCTCGAATTTGGAGAAAAAGTATTTATACTTTGGAGCGCACATCTGGAATCACAAAATCGTTGCTTCAGTGAATGGATACGGTGGAAGGTGGTCCTACCAATAGTTTGTCGTGTTTGTTGTTCGATTTGACTGTGGCGCCAAAAAACTGGTAGGCTTTGTCCTCGATCGGAGACAGAGTAGAGCCGTTCAAACGATGCTCATTTCCTCCTAAACAAAACAGAACCATAAACTTCGGGGGAGACGGGCAGTAGAAACAGCTTCGTGTGATCGATCCGCCGCACGCGGCTGTCGCGGACCATTTGCCTCGATATAACAGCTCTAGAGTTTTTTAAACAGCTCAATCGCTATGCCATTATCACTTATAGCACGACTCTACTGTTAGTTTTTTTGTTTCTGAATTTCTTACATGCTGCTGCATTCTGTTACATTCCTTCGCGCGCGGCTCTCTTTCACCGCAACGCGACAGTTTCGTTCCTACTGTACCATGCCTTATTCTTCCGCAGTGCAAGAGAAACATGTTTGATGGAGGACCACAATCAGGAAGTTTCCTTTCAGCTGTTCGATGACTAGTTTTGAAGTAGACTACAGGTCGCCTAAACTGGTACCTTCGCTTGATCGTTTGACAAAAATTGCGGCCTCCGTCTGGGGATCCCACAGTAAATCAAAAGATGCTATAATTACCTTGATTAGATGATTATATCGACTTTTGACTATTGAGCGTTCTAGGGTATAATTGCCGTTGAGCTCGTAACAAATCATGCATGCTTACTGCTGGGTGCTCATGAGATTTCGCGGAAGCCATTTCTTCTGAGGCCGATATCGCTCGCATTCGATTGTGTGGGGCCAACCCGCATAATGACGATTTTACAACCACATCGGGAGCGATAAAGTGTTCATGGCGGTAGACAGCCAGCAGTGGACTTTATTCGGGTCGCCCGAATATATTAAGAATCACGAAAAGAGTGTATGTTTTCATTGCCTTTCGAGGTCGATTGGTAGGACATACGTCTTGAGTGTTTCTAGGCTATAACGCGAGAATGGGTATAGCGGTTTCTCCCGTGCGTGAAACCGCTATACCCGTGAATGGTGTGTGAAACCTCAACCACCCGGGGACAACGGTCAGATCCCGAAACGCTGGGCCGTTTCAATAAACGTTCACTGTTAAGGATGAGTTTAAGATAATCAGCCTCATCAAAATGGCATTTGGGATTCCATGCGCACGAGCGGGCTCTCAGCCTCTCGTTCCCAGCACTGAATTCAGCCTAGACTAGTTCTCAGATTGACATGCGATGGCATCAAGAGGGAGCTATCTGGAAGTCTAGTCCTGTGAAACTTCACCCACCCGGCATCTCTCAGTAGCACTTA